GAGCCAACTCATGTCTTTGAGCATGAAGTAACACCACACCAAGTCTATTTGTAGAATGGCTACATTGTCAACCAACTGTAAGCCATAAGGGATGGTTAGGAATCATTCTTATAGCATGAATTGAAATCATTTATGTATGAAACAGTCAATATTGCAACCATAATGCATTGTTTATTTTCTAAAGAAGCTATTTAAGGCTTATTCTATTTTAGTATCAGCAAAATCAAGTTCAGTATCCAAAGTAACTTAAGGAATATGATTGGGAAGAGAGGTTTTACAATTGACATTGGCTATTGGAAAAGAGGGAGGACCTTTCATTTGAAAATATTCTTCCCGTGTTGATTTGATACATTTATTTAAGATTAGAAAAAATGTCAAACTTCCAAAAATGTTTCTAGTTTAATTTGGGGGTGAACTAATTAAGCAAAGTGCAAAAATGTTATTCATATTTATTCTTAAAAGTAAGCTAAAAAGGAAACAGGAAGAATATTTTACACCAGCTAGAAAAGAAAGTAAGAAAACATTTTCAGATGGAAGGAGATTTTTTTTGAATAGGCAACCTGCCTATTTTTTGACTGAAAACACAGATATATATTTTACTTGCATCAGCAGGTAAAGACTACACACATTTGCACTTTGTATAATATAGAAATAATCTTTATTTAGTATCTGATATAGAAATAGTCTTTATTTAGTATCTGTGTTCATAAAGACAGACGTGTATTAAGAAAAAAACCAAAGGATTGAGCAGAACAATCATTCGATGCAATATTTGTAATTTGTATAATATTATTCTCGAACTCCAACATTCAGGTATAATGTCATTTGCCTAAATCAAAGTTCAACCATCTTTAATTCTATGATTATCTAAACAATATAATCCGCCCACACCAGTAACTGTTCTTCATTCATATCCACCAAACTAGATGATTTGGTTCCGAATGGTTTAGACGCTGCATAATCTGCATTGGCGGGGGAGCAAAGGTCTGAAGCAAAACTGAAGCATACTGCAGCACCTGAAACGATAAGAGCAAAGGTTTTGTTAGAAATATATGGCTGATTTCATCAAAGATTGATCAATATAATCCCAAATGTTTTTGGAAATAAATGGTTAATTTACCTCATCAGAGATAGATAAATATCCTAAGCATTCCATCCATATGCTTAGTAGTGCCAAACAAATGCTTGAACTCTTGTCTTGAAAGCCTCCAATAGCACTAAAACAGCTACAAACACAGAATGTATAACATAATATAGTGAGAATGCTTCAATATATAAAACCAAGAATGACCAAAGTACTCGGTAGACTATTGAATGCCAGTTTGCATGGGCACTCACTGTGAAAAAGTAAGATCTTGAAAAAGTAATGGTGGAATATATACCTGAGGTTACATCAAGCTATGTAAATCGGGCATCAGCGGATTCGGTTAACATGAGCGAACGGCTCCGGGTTAGACTTGGGAACCTGTTTTTTGACTTCAGGGGTTCCAAAAACATTCCAGAATCTTAGTGTTTCATCACCTGCAGCAGATGCAACAGTGCAACCATCTGGGCTCTGCACAACAAATATGATTGTGAGTATACTAATCATTTACCACGCACAGCCACAGAAATCTTTTGATATTAATTTTGTGAGAAAAAGAAGAAAGATAATTAAACCTGAGCCATAAAAAGAACTCGGGAGGTATGTCCCGTAAGCTCTGCCATTTTGACCATTGATGGGTATTTCCAGAGAGTGAGCTGATTCTTAGTAAACCCATGAGAACTAAGCAACTCACGCTCATTCTTGTTCCAAAGCAACGCGCACACCTGAGACCCTGTATCAACTGAGTTCACACATGAACCAGTATGAGTATTCCAGAACTTAATGCATCGGTCTCCTCCACCTCCGCCTGATGCCAAAAGGTTCCCCTGAAACGGACACCAGGCAAGGGCCTTAACTGCAGCTGTGTGTTCCTCGAACCTGTGAAGCCATTGTGTTGTTGAGGAGGTGGAGTTGGAAGAAGAAACAGCAGTCGATGATCTGTCCCATATATAGAGAAGGTTATCGTTTCCTCCGCTTGCCAACTGCTGGCCAGAGGCCGACCATTTTAGGCCGCACACTTCTTGACTATGTCCTCTGTAGGTTTCCACAATATGTGATCTCACCCGGACGTCATTGTTGAAAATCATACCATCCATCCCACCTGTTGTCAGTATATGATTGTTCCAATCGAGGGCTCCTACTCGTGATTGGTGGCCATCTCTCAAAGTTCGTAACTGCCCAGATAACAAAACTCAGTATTCATTCAATCAACGAAAGGAAAGAACCAAGACTGAATACAAAAGAGCTTGAGAAGCACATACCAATCTGTTAGCCGTGGAATCCCAAAGCTGGACATCAGAATTATTCAAGCCAACGGCAACATGCCTTCCGTCGGGAGCCCATTTAACACTCGTAACCGGACCAAATTCATCATCAACTGTGACCAATTCAGAAGTGCTTCCCTCAGAAGCATCCCACAGGTAAACAGTACTGCCAAGAGCAATAGAGAGAACATTGCTGCTTCCCCAATCTAGTAGATTCAAGTAGTAATCATCCAAAATATCCGGGGCATCTAAAGTCCTCTCAGATGTCTGCAAAAATGAATCAATCATTGTGAGAAAAAAAAGAATCCTTTCTATCATTGACCCACTAACCTCAAGAACAATCAATCACTACTTGCCTACCTGAGGAATGTGGCGACGAGGTTTAGTAGGTTTGGCCTGGTAAGCGGAAGAGTTCTTATCCAGAAAACCATCCAAAGGGGGGGTGGGTGGTTTATTCTTAAAAGCAAGGATCCTCCGGTTCATGTTAAAGATCTCTGCAAGCTGCTTTCTATATGCTTCTCTTGAAGGTGAACTGGCCTGAATCTCTTTAGCTTTACATCCTTCGGTCACCATAAAATGTGCGTAGTCAAAATCCATTGCAGATCTATTAGGAATGAACCTGTCCCACTACATAACAGCAACCCATGAGAATTCAGTAGGTCAATTATATTTCTGAACTGGCTTCTAGAGAAACTCAAAGTGAAGGTTTCAAATGTTAACCAAATTTTTGATGATCTTATCCAACAACCCAAAGAAAATTGGAATAAGGTTACTTAATGAATTTCAGAATTAGATACATAAAACCAAAGTGACAATGAAATTAAGATCAATTGCCCAGACGGAAGAACAGAGACTTTTTTCATGGGATATACACCAGTTTGCATGAAATGTCTAGATGAAATTTACATCAATTTACGCAAGGTAGAGAGGGCATACATTTTCATGGGAGCTTTTTCTCTGACGATACTGCTCCTGAAGAGGAAAACGACTGGATCCAGTCATGTTCGATGTCATAGAGTTTCTTAATCCTGCATCCATCACGTTAATAACACACAACAAAAAAAAGAAGCGAAAAAAAAAACAGCTATAAACAGAAATATATATTCGAAGTGAAAAGGGCCTGCAAAAACAATGTTAGATCGTTAAGAGATCAACAGAATTAATCAAAAATGAATGTAGAATAAAGAACGACAGAGATTCAAAGTATCAAGATCGAAGATCGAGAGCCTTTGGGAGATCGATTGAGAACAGATCAAATGAAGCGAGCGCGAGCGAGAGAGAGCAGAGAACGGAAGGGGATTGAGAATGGTTCGCTTCAAACTGTTCTAGGGTTTTATTGATGCCGTTTGGCGAAAAAGAGTCGTTGTAATTTGCTTGGACTAAAATGCCCATCCTCCGTACTTAGCTTCTTCCAGTCTCAGGCCAGACAAATTCACTCCGTACTCCTTCTGAATTTCATCCCGAACCTACACCGTGAAAGGGCACATCTCGAATAGATGCTCCACTGTTTCCTCAGCTCTCTCACAAAGGTAGCAGGTTGTGTCTAGGGATGTCAAATATTTTAAATTTGATTCACCATTCGTATTCGAGTATGATGATTCGAATTCGCGTTATTCAAATACAAATTCAAATTCAAATATTATTTTTGATTCGAATATTAATCAAATACAAATACAAATAGGAATATATTCGATTCGGATGATATTCGAATATTCGAATATATGTATATATACACAGACCATGTTTTTAACATCAAAAGTCAAGCAAAATAATATAGTATAAACTGTATTTAAAATACTAAGAATTTAGTAAATTAACGTAACACGAAAATCTAAAGCATATGATTTTTAATAGTTATATTTTATAAAATACAATTTGTGTAAGATGCAAATGTATTAATGTTTTTATATACGGAATATAGTATAGTATAAAGAGTATCGTAAGTTAAATTACAAATTGATGTTGGTCCATCTTATAAATTACATAGTATGATTATTCAAATATTCGTTTATGATTCGATAACTATTCGAATATTAATCAAATACTTATTCATATTTTATTTTGAATTCGTCTCATATTCGGATTCGGATTCGTATTCGAAAAAATTAAACAAATACAAATTCAAATATATCGGAATTCGATTCGGTTCGGTTCGTTTACACCCCTAGTTGTGTCAATATCTCTCCATTTTTTATTCGATCCTTGGTTTAAAGCCTTCTCCGACACACAAGCCAAAAGATAAAATGTACTAACCTTAGGAAGAGTAGATCTGTTCAAAACCCACTTTGACCACACAGGTTTTGGTTTTTCCTCTCTGAGCCACGCATATTCATATCCATATCCATACTTTATTTAAAAAGACATGGATTCTCAATTTTGTTTTCCCGCCCATTTGGTCTTCCACCAAAAATGGTAATTGTTCACTCCATATGGTAATTACTCAATTAAAATGGAGTTACACGGGTCATTAATGGAGTTACCGTAATTAAGTAATTACTCATTTAAAATGGTAAGTAATTTAAAGTAATAATAAAATATTCAATTTCTTAGGTGTTCTAATTGTAAAAGGTAAGTAATAATAAAATATTTAAAGTAATAATAAAATATTCAAACGAGTGTTCTAATTGTAAAAAGTAAGTAATAATAAAATATTCAAACATAATTACACTTACCGTTAATAAATCAATCTTTTTTAACCAGTTTATACGAATGGTAATAATATTATTTAATTATATTTACTAATATATATGTGATAATATCTAATAACTTATTTCATTTAAAAATGGTAATTAAAAACGGTAATAAAAATACGTATAGAGTAATAAAAATAGGTATAGAGTAATAAAAATAGGAAAATACGTATAGAATAATGTACATTTTTTAACACGTATACAAAAATGGTAATAAAAAATTATTAAGGGTAGAGATGTTGAACATTAATGCAGCGAAACAAGTTTGGGCAGATTCTTCATACCATAACTTGCATAAACGAAATTAGAAATTAAAATATAAACGAAAAATGCATACCGTTAATAAATCAATCCTTTTTTAACCAATTTATACGAATGGTAATAATTGTATTGAATTATATTTACTAATATTTATGTAATAATATCTAATAACTTATTTCATTTAAAATGGTAATTAAAAACGGCAATAAAAAATACGTATAGAGTAATAAAAATAGGTATAGAGTAATGAAAATAGGATAATACGTATAGAGTAATGTACATTTTTAGCACGTATACAAAAATGGTAATAAGAAATTATTATTGGTAGAGATGTTGAACATTAATGCAGCGAAACAAATTTGGGCAGATACTTCATACCATAACTTGCATAAACGAAATTAGAAATTAAAATACGAATAGAGTAATTAAAAATTAAAATACGTATAGAGTAATAAAAATAGGAAAATACGTATAGAGTAATGTACATTTTTAACACGTATACAAAAATGGTAATAAAAAATTACGGAGTATTAATGGTAGAGATGTTAAACATTAATGCAGCGAAACAAATTTGGGCAGATTCTTCATACCATAACTTGCATAAACGAAATTAGAAATTAAAATACGTATAGAGTAATTAGAAATTAAAATCTATACTTTATTTAAAAAGAGGTGAATGTTTTCCCGCCCAAACATGAGACTCATATATGGAAAGTGTTGACAACAAAAATGATAGTTTAATTATTTGGCCTTATTGTTTTCCTTCTATTTTAAGTATGTTTTCATTTTTATTTAAATGTTACACCGTTTAAATACNAACATTAATGCAGCGAAACAAATTTGGGCAGATTCTTCATACCATAACTTGCATAAACGAAATTAGAAATTAAAATACGTATAGAGTAATTAGAAATTAAAATCTATACTTTATTTAAAAAGAGGTGAATGTTTTCCCGCCCAAACATGAGACTCATATATGGAAAGTGTTGACAACAAAAATGATAGTTTAATTATTTGGCCTTATTGTTTTCCTTCTATTTTAACTATGTTTTCATTTTTATTTATATGTTACACCGTTTAAATACTTAAATTAAATTAATTTAAGTTGTAGTGAACCATTGGGGAATTAAAGTATGGAAATAAAATACACTACCATTTAAATATTAAAATAAAATTAAAAAACTTTTTATTAATAAAGTATGAGCGGGATTAAAATGATTTATTTCAAAAACTACAAATTAATTATTTATTACAATTTACTAGCACGGACGTGTAAAAATGGTAAGTTTTCTAAAATAGATTAGAAAATATATATGGTACAGTAAGTAAATGATAACATTTAAATACAATAATAAAATAAAAAACTACAAATTAATATTAATACTATAATTTACAAGCATGGAAACATTTTAAAATGACACGTGTTCTAATTAGAAAATTAGAAAAATAAATAGGTATGGTACGGTAAGCAATTGGCACCATTTAAAAACGAAAATAAAATAAATGGTATGTGTTCTAAAATAAATTAGAAAATAATGTGGTTTGGTAAGTAATTAGTACGATTTAAATATGAAAATAAATAAAAAAACTGTAAAATTAATATTAATACTATAATTTATAAACATGAAAATGTTTTGAAAAAGGTAAGTGTTCTAATTAGAAAATTAGAAAATAAATACAATACAGTATGTCACCACGATAAGCAAATGGTACCATTTAAACACAAGAATAAAATAAATGGTAAGTGTTCTAAAATAAATTAGGTAAGTGTTCTAAATAAATTAGAAAATAAAATAAATATCAAAACGGTAAGTGTTCTAAAATATAATAGAAAATAAATATGGTACGGTAAGTAAATGATACCACTTAAATACAAAAATAAAATAGAAAACTGCAAATTTTTACTATCAATTAATACTACAATTTAAAAGCATGGAAACATGTTAAAATGGTAAGTGTTATAAAATAAATTTAAAGATAATATGGTACATAAAGTAAATGGTACCATTTAAATGCAAAAATAAAAATATTATAAATTAAAAGTATTAATACTATAAGCATGGAAACATGTAACAATGGTAAGTATTCTAAAATTAATACTATTAATTCTATAATTTACAAGCATGGATAAGTATAAAATCGTAAGTGATCTAAAATAAAATAGAAAATAAATACCATAGGGTAAGTAAATGGTACCATTTAAATACGAAAATAAAACTAAAAAATACAAATTTCGAAATAGATACATTAATATGTTGAATTATTATTTAAATAAGTCAAATTATTGAATTATTGTCAGGGACAATATCTGAAACATGTTGAATTATTGTTATTACGGAAACCGGTATTTAGTCATGGGCAAGTGTTTGTTGCAGTTTCAAGAGTAATAAATCACAATGACTTGAAGATTCTGATATACAACGAAGTAAATGCTCACACGAATTATACGAGTGATGTAGTTTATAAATAAGTCTTTCGAAATTTGTAAATCATTTTACTTTTGTACTTTAAAATAATGAAATTTCTATATTCCATTATATACCAATTTATATTCCTAAAAATGATCTTAATTTAGTACCATAACTATGACCCGTGCAACGCACGGGTGTGATACTAGTTCTTTGCTAATATATAGTGAACCTGTCGTCTATTTGAATTCCACTAAAGATGTCACGAACCCCTAGCATCTGCTTCCAGTAATGAATTAAGTCATCATGTTTTGGTTTATAGCTAGTCCCAAAGGCCAAAACGCAGCATCCTTTAGGCATTTATTGTGGATCCATTTAATCCACATTATTTCCTTTTTTGTTAGCCACGTCCCAATTAACCTTCATAATTGTAGCCTTATTCCATGTTGTGATATCCCTCAATTCCAGCCCATGCTAGAGTCACATGCAATCGGTTCACAAAATTCACAAACTTGCCTTTTTAGCACTTTCCTAGAAATAAGATGCACTCAAATAATAATATTTAAAATTCACAAAAGGCAAGTTTGTGTAATTTGTGAACTATAAATTTGTGACTCTAGCATTTTCCTTTTTAGGCTAGCAAGAGATTTTTTTTTTAAAGTCACTCGATCCATTCTACAAAAAATCTTGCAGATGCTTTGAACTCTATGCAATACATTCTAGGGAATAATGAATATTCTCGCCCAAAAAGTAATAATACCCAACAAGACTACATTAAATAATTTGACCTTGGCATTGTGGGAGTGGTGTTTGGACTTTGGAGCTCCAGGTATTGATCTTTGTAGTCATCTTGGTAATCATTACTTCATAGTCCTTAGCTTTGAGTTGAGATGAGGTAACCAGACAGCCCAGGTAAGTGAATGGCAAAGTACCTCTTTCCATGTTAGTGGCCTCCAACAATCTTTTCTCTAGTTAGTCATCCACCCTCAAAGAAAATCTGAGATTTTTGTGGGTTGATTTGGAGTCCTGTAGTCTTCTTGAAGATCTCTAGGGCCTTCTTAAAACACACTGCAACACCCTTATGCAGCCCCTTTCGGACTAAAGTACAAACTTGGTAATCGTAAAACTTAAAACATTTCAACAATTGAAACTCTATTTCGTCATCATAAAATATTTAAAAATAGTAACGAGGTTTATCAAATTGCGGAAGCTTAAAATAATTTTATATCACAATCATTAATTCATTTTTTAAACAATTATTGAACAGTTCAAAAACCATCACACATCCATATGACATCTCGTCTCCCCATCTGCCGCCAGGATCAATCAAATCATTCTTTATGTCGTTTACTTGCGTGTAGCAAATAAAACATACTACACGCTCGGCGGTGAAGCTGAGTAAGGATATCTAATGCGTCGAACATCCATATAAAATGAATCTCAATTCATAATCAAATAATTTGATATCATGTACATAATATTCATTTCAAGGTTTCAGAATTCAATATTCAATATTCATAGTGTCAATAGTGTTCTTAAATTATTCTTAATCTAAGGCGAAATTCATATTGATAATAAACCTTTTTACCAAAAAAATTATAAAAAAAAATATTCGGAATCGGTTTAGAACAGGAAAAAGAACCGCTACACAATCGGAACCACCCGGAATTGCCCCTATACGGTACAGGCCAGGTTCCCCCAAAATTTGTACAGGAACCGTCGATTTTGGAACCAGAATCAGACTTGTACCATGTCGAGCCCTAGGTGGGTTACGGGGCGTTGGCTTGGGGATAAGCGTTTGAGGAGTTGGTTAGAAGGGGTAGATGTCACTTCGAGTTTGTCTCAAATGGACCAAGATCATAATATACTCCTTATGTTCGAGAAAATTCTTTATTGTGATTTTTTGGGTCAAATCGCTACACATTTTAACTATTAATAAATACTTTTAAATAAATATATTTATTTAAAATTTAATATATCAAAACTACATCTGAAAATGTACTCAATTATATAGAACTTATTTTATAATTAAATCTATTTTTCAAAATTTATGGTCAAGCTTATAAAATTTCTTTAAAAAGTCAAATTGTAAAAAGAAAAAATTGAATTAAGGAAGTATAACATGGACTACCAATATCAAAAGGATCTACTTGTTTTTCTGATAAAGGGTTGGTTTGAAGTATTTGTTTTATTCTATACATTATACTCCCTCCGTCCGGAAATATTCTTCCCACTTTCCTTTTTGGTCCGTCCGAAAATATTCTTCCCATTTCCTTTTTTAGTATGCTTTTTAAGGATAAATTTTAATAATACCCTTCTATTTTATCACTAATCTACTTTTTTAGTATTTTTTTAATAATAAAAAGAGATTTAAAAGTTTATAGTATGTGCATTTTTGAAAATTTTGCATTTTTTTACTATTCCTTAATAAGCATGCCAAGTCAACACGGGAAGAATATTTCTGGACAGAGGGAGTATTTTCTAAATTTGCCATACCAATCATAACTTATAAGTTTGTATGGTTGATTTGACCAAGGAATGCCACCAAGTCACCAAGAGTTAGAGAATCGTAAATATGAGAAACCCTATTCTCCTTTTTGGTAACCTTACACATACAAATTTTAAGGTATTTGGGATTGTAATACTTTTTTTAGCACAACTAGTGAC